CCTCCTCCTCCTCCTCATCGGCCGCCGCAAAGTCTGGCACAACAACAGATGAAGACGCCGAACAGAGTCACGTCAACGCCATTCTCTCTGCATTGCACGTCGCTGTCGGAGGATCTTTCGCTCTCAGTGGCAGCAATAGCGGTGGCAGCGGGGGCGTGATGAACGGTTCCGTTGGCGGAAAGGCCGGCAAAGCTGTGAAGGGCGGGAAGAAGGCGGCGGCTGCTGCAGCCGCCGCAGGAGGTGTAACATCGGTCAAGGTGCCGAACGGAAGTATCTCCACGACGGAAACGACCAAAATGACGGCAACGACTGGGTTACAGCGGCCACGTTCTGAGTGGTACAGCGTTGTAAACAACCCTCAGTGGGATGCGCCGCTGGTGTTTATTCATCAGCTACCAGGCTTGGATCGCTCAGAAGAGGAAGGCGGCAGCTCGACAGCTCCCACTCAGCGCCCTCCGACGTCTGACTTCTGCACAACACTCCACCGGGCCCTGCAGACCATCGCTGAGGAGTTGGATGACGCGACTGGTGGGGCGACGGCGCGTGAGGGTAGCGTTGTTATTAGTGAGTCCCATTCATTGCCGTCGTGTGAGGCACAACGCCGCGATTTCAAGGAGATTGCGGTGGTGATGGCGCTGCGGGAACCTCGCACGTTACTTGCGCTGCTGAACAACAGGAAGGCGTTGTCCGAGAGCCGCATCGACACTCGCCTCATTGTGCAGTTTGTCGACTCCCGCCCCTTGCAGAGCCCGGCCACGCAGGGTGGCAACGCCAATGGTAACAACACTAGTTCAAGGGGCCGAGCAGGCGGGGCAGCATCCAAGCGGTCGACTAATCTCGAAGGCTCCGGTGCCCAGCTTTCGGTAGGCGCGAAGGATGGGGACACTGCGAGCTCTTCCTTTGGGATTTGCAACACCTTCGATAGCTGGATCGAGCGGTATCAACGCGAGGGGGTAATTACTAATGTAGCCACTTCTGCTGCTGCTTCGCACGCAACCGGTGTGGTATGTCTGCGGGAGGTCTTCGAGGGCGGTGGCGAGGACAGGAGTGCGTGGGTCACTCGGTGCGTACAGACGGTGCTGCCTACGATTCATGGTGTAGTGCATGACATGTCTCGGTACGCCGAGTGGCTCTCCAACAGAAGAGTGTACCACTACTCCGTCGCCAACTCCGATCTGCTTCCTCAGCATCAGCAACAACAACAACCAGAAGACATGGCTGGCGGCAGCGAACTTCCCTTGAGTTTCACAGGGAAGCGGCGATCGAAGGTCGCATCACCTGTATCCGCTCAGCCACAGCTGGCGATGTCTGCAGCAGATAGGGAAAACAGCCGATCGCCCACAAGGGATGCTGTGCTGAGTTCTCTACCCTCAAGCCGCATGCGCCGTGAGAAGATAGGTGAAGAATTAGAAGAGGAGAAGGAAAGAAGAGGACAGGGTGGGGCGGAATGGGCATATTATTTACGTGAGTCTAAGGTGCGGGGCCAGTGGACGTGCGCATCCGCTGTGCGTGCACTCGCGACACAAGTGACAGTGTCCTTGGCGCGGCGCCAACAGCCCAAACTGGTGCGCCCTGCCTTGGAGGACGGAGGACAGGCGGAGGGCACGCAGCATCGACGCTCCACAAGAGTTGTGCCGGTTGACTCGGAAGTCAAGGAGAAGGACATTGGTGCATCCCTCTTACGGCAATTGCGACAGTACGCCTCCAAGCGCACTATCTTAACTACATTAGACCCAATCACCACTGTTGACGCTGCTGCTGCTGCTGCTGCTGCTGCTGCTGCTGCTGCTGCCGCTTCAGTGGCGGTGGCTTCAGATATGAATGCCACCACAAGGAGTCGTGCGGGTGAGACGGCATTGGCGTCTCCGATGCCAGACGACCTCCGCGACCAGTTGGATGCAACTACCATAACAACACTGCTGCCGATGGACCACACAATGGATCGCCCAACATCACCGCCACACCCAGAGGAAGTGCAGTGGATCACGCAGCAGTTCGTCAAGAAGGCCCTCGGTGCCTTTGCTCTTCCGCCAGCAGCAATTGATGCGGATGCTGTCAGGGACGGCACTGGGTCACCGGTCACGTCGTTTGCCAGTGAGCACTTCCAGGCGGTGATGAGGATGCGCGAGCTGCTGGAGGAGCCGCTGAACGGCCACACCGTCGAAGAAGGTGAAGACGCGGCAGACAGCCATGTGTTAGAACTCATGGAGGCGGACTTTCGCTGCGCGGGTGGTGAGTCACCGAGCGGATGGGTCGACGTGCGCGACGCTGCGATGGCTTCGATTGGGCTACAGCCTGTGGAGGAGAAGCTGCAGCGCTCGATTGAACGCAGTTTGACACCGCGCGAGAGGACGCACATTCTCCAGCTAGTCTTTCTGGAGTGGGCGGCCACTAAGGCGCGCATGAATGGCGCCCTCCCTCCCTCCGACGGCCCATTTGCGGAGGGCATTGAGCAACAACAGCAGCAGCAGCAGTTAGCATCACCGACGAGTATGGTTCCTTCGAATGAGAGTATTGGTCCCATCTCGCGCACTATGGAAGAGAGTGTGACCAAGGCAGTAGCTATACAGCGTATTTATGAGTTCCAGTCTCGCTTTGGAGCCCACTTGTGTCGTCTGTTGCGTTGCACAATGCCGGAACCATTGGAGACGTTGGAGGGGAACTACACCGCCGTGTATTCCACACATGCTGAGAACGTGCATCCGCCAAAGCGAGTGCGGGCGATGATGATTGGCGGTGTGCCACTCCCGAAGCAACGGCACGTGCAGCGTCTCTGGTGTCATCACATATCTGGTGTGCCGTCTCTTGACCAGTTCAATGAACTCGTCGCCTCTGAAGACTCCATTGCGTCGCTTCCTTCTCCACCGCCAACTACTGTAGCTTCTGGTGGTGGTGGTGGTGGTATTTCTCGTACAGGGGGCGCTATTGGTGATGTAATCCGTCGGCAACTGCTTACTCAGTTGCAGAAATCAAGGCAGTTGTTGGCGCCAACTCCTGAGGAAGTAGTCAGGGTTAACAATGTGTGGCGCGCTGAGGGGAAGGCACAGTCCGTGGTGGAGGGGCGCCACGCTCTGTACCCATATGATGATAGTGTTGTTGAAGTCGTTACAACAGATCGAGGCCGTACGTGTCGATACGTGAAGGCTAATGAGCTGAGTTGCGCACTGCACTACAGTATCCCGTCTCCTGACGCGAGTACATCCGAGTCCCCAGTAGAGCGTGCCTCTTCGGCACAGGCCGCACGTAGACGGATGCGAGAGGAGAGCAGTGCCTACTTTACCGCCTCGTTTGACGATGGTGTTGTCTTAACCTGCACGCAACGGTGGCCGCCGTCTGTGGCTCCTACCCCTGTCGTGTCTGCTGGCATTTCCAGCGAAAGGGAAAACGTTGCCAGAAATAGCACCGTCTCTGTGAAGAGCACCGCCTCGCGTCGCGGCAAGACGTCGTCGAGGCTCGGCCAAGGCTCCGCTTCAGGTAAGCGGGGTGGAAGTTTCTCGCCGGGGTTCGGAGAAGAGAGTCAGACGATTGGAAGGCGTAGCGCCCGTAAGCCGAGGGGTCGCGGCCGCGACGACGGCGATGCCCTCTGCGGGCTCACAACAGCAGCACCCATACGTCTTGAGCAGCCGCAGCGGCTGTTTCCTGTGGCGGATGATGGATCCGTTCTCTTGTGGAACGCCACGGGAGAAGATGTGAAGAGTAGCAGTACAAATGTCGTCACTTCCAACGTCGGAATGGTCTCCTTTGCAGGAACTGCACACGGCTTGCCGGCGCTGGCAATCACAGTTGCTGCCAACGGGGTTACGGTGCACTGTGAGGAGCAGGAATCGCTGCTCTGCATCTCTCAGCACGGGCCCAGTAACTATCCGGCGCCAGAGCTGCTGCGCTGTGTTCACGCGTGCAAAGTGGGCGCAACATGGAATCGAACAATGGAAGTGGAGGTGCGTCGCGTGGTCATGGAGGAATCAGGTATTGTGTGCCGTTACTTTCACTCCGGTGCCACACAGTTACTTTACCCGGATGGTGTGGTGGTGACGCGGTACCCCTCACCCATCCATAAGAGCAGCAGCAGCAGCATCTCTGGGAATAGCCCTAAGAGCAAGAGGAATTCTTTATTCCAGAGTGAGACACTTGTTACGGCTGCAGGTGAGTGCTATGTGCGTCAGGTGAATAGAGGTGCTGTTGGAAACTTTCACCGTTTGCCGGAAAACACGATTGCGACACGTGTGACCTACGACCGTGGCAATCACTGCCGAATATTGTCTCGCGCGGATGGTGTGGCGATTGTTTATTACTACAAGAAGGAGAGTGGCGGTAAATCCGACGTTGACGTGTATGGTGGCGGAAGTAATGCTGTTGACGATGACGGGGATATGGAAGCGGCAGAAACAGAAACAGCAACAAGAACTCCAGCGACGGAGTTTGGGGAGGGTGGGGCTCACACCGGCAGCCACCAGCTCCTTGCCCGCGTCACACTGCACACGGACGGCACAAGCATCACCACCTTCTTCAGGAGCATGGGAAGTGCGGCTTGCGTCAGCGTGTCTGCGCCTCTGCGCTTGCTCTTCGAGCAGTTGGATGTTGTGGAGGCGGCGTGTGGAGCGGCCGTGCAGTACTGTGTGGAGGCGCCATCGCTACCGCGTGTTTTCGTGTGCGTCCCAACATGGGATGACACAGAGCAGCGGGAACCGTCGCTTGGTGGGGCGGATGCATCTGAGGCCTCCGCCGCGCTGCCGCGCACCTACTCCGCGAGCAAGTGCAGCACAGCGCTTGCCCGTGAGACGCCCGTCTCGTCGATTTCCGACGCCGCGACGCCGGTGCTTGGCGCGCTGGCTAAGGGAGAGGGTCCACCGCAGCGGCGCGTCTACGACCGCTTCTACGTTGTCTTCGGCGATGGTACGGTGCTGCGGCGGCGCGTGGTGTACCGCGGCGCCGCCATGCCGTTCCTCGAGACACTCTTCACGCGCACCACGGAGGCCTCGGTGCGCATCATCCACGAGGCCGGCCTCGCGGTGGTGGAGCCGGCGGAGGCGGTGCGCCGCAACGCAGAGTTGCTCTCGTCGCTGGCCATCGGGGAAGGCTTCGCGATGTTTGACCTCGCGCTGGGCGGCATGCGGCTCGTCGACTACCAGCACCACGTGACGGAGGTGCGCGATCTGTTCGCGCCGGGGCCAGTCTTCGCCCGCATCACGCCCGCCACACTCGAGTCGCTGCTGCGGCAGCTCGTGCTGCCCACGTATACCCCGCACACTGTTCCCAAGGCGCTGCAGGAGGCTATGCGACAGGAGGAGCTGAAGGCAGAGGCTCAAAGTAGGCGCCATCGCGCTATTGGGGCGTGTCCGCCGTTAGTCGTCCGATTGCGCGAACTGGCTGAGAGTTTTGTTATCGCCCATGATCTTCTCCGTGTTGATGTTCTTAATTCGGCCAAACGACAATGGAAGGGCAGTCGCTCTTTGAGGAGTGGGGGAAGCATGTCGCCGAATGCAATGACAGCGGCGTCTTGGGGCGGCTCTACGGTGGTTGCGGAGAAGGGGCAGTCCGCTGCGCAGCGCACCATAGCGACATCACCCAGTGCTATTGCAGAGACCATGCCACCCATGGGTGTTGCGCCGGTCTTCTTTTCTGAGCTTGAAAACGGCCTCGTGGTGCAGTACCTTCACCAGCGTGATGTGGAGGAGTATGTGCGCGCCAAGGATGCCGAGATGTTTCCAATATTCCTCTCGCATAGCACCGCCGCAGGTGAGCCTGGTGTGCAGCAGCTGACATTCTTTCGCGTGAAGGCAGCCACAGGGATTAATGAAGGAGCCTCGGCAGCAAGCCAACCGAGGCAAGTGTCCCTTACCAGTTTCCCATCCCGCACGCTGTTGCGTGGCTCCTGTGGCATGAGCCACGCATCGAGCAGCGCGGCAATGGCAGGCTCCTTTCTTGGTGGTGCTGTGAAGCGACAGGAGCAACTCGCGCTCTTCTCAGGGCGGCGGGCATCGTTTCCCACGACGCGCTGGCTTCCGCCGTCCATGCAGCCCCCACGCCGCTTTTTGGAGCCGCACTCCGCAAGACGTGGGGACGGTGAAAGCGGTGGCGTGACCGTTGTTGATGGGCCTCTGCAGCACGGCGATACCGCTGCGTCGCTGTCTTCATATGAGCGGCTTCGCGTGTTCCTGAAGTTCACGGAGATGACGCCGGTGGCGCAGCAGGTGGTGCTACTAGGCGAGGCACAATGGCATAAGCAGCTGACGTCGCTGGTGTCGTACCACAAGTCCATGAGCGCCATGTCGCCGGAGATGTCGTCCGCGGCGCTGGAGGAGCAACGACACCTGCGGGAGAAGCACCTTGTGGTCTCACGGTGAGAACGAAGGGCGGCATGAAAGTTGCCAGGGGGGAGGGGGAAGGGCTGCGTGTATGCATCCATCCATGCATATGCTCTTGGCTACGAAGTGGGTAAGTGATCGCGGAGAAACGAAGGAGTGTGTGGTGCGAGAAAAGAAAGCACCAAGTGAAATGAGTTACACTGTGGTGTTGGCGGCGGCGGCGGCGGCGGTGGTGGTGGTGGTGGTAGTTGCTTTTGATGCGATAATTTCACAATGTACAACGGTGCCCCCTTGCTTCTCTGTTCTCTCTGGCTTTCTTTTTCGTTTTTCTGCGGCCAGCCATCGCCCCCTGGATGTAATGATTTCCGGGGGAGTAGCGAGAGAAGAGGAGGGGTAAGGAACGCGCAGATATGTAAACGCCTGCTACACGGTGTGGAGATTGCCGTTTCTTTTTTTTTTTTTTNTTTTTTTTTTTTTTCTTTCGGTTGCTGTTATTGTTGAGGAGGTGTGGGGTGTGTTTCATCCTTTACCCTCCGATCTTCGTGCTCTGACTCTTGCGTGGGGTGTGGAGTTATATGCCTTGCTTCTACTCATTGCCTATCAGCTTGTCACACATACATACACATAGAGAGAGAGAGGAAGAAGCGTAGAGGAACGCGAAGCGGTGGTGTGTGTACGAGAATCAACGAGAAAGCAGAGACATAGAGACCGTGAGAGAGAGAGAGAGAGAGGGTGTGTGAAATAAAGAGCGCGTTGTATACGGAGGTGTGCATCCATGTGGAAACAGGACCTTGGTCAGTGGGTTGAGCGCAAAGGGCGCCGTGGCTGGCTGAAACAGCAGCCAATACAGCAGCAGTCGCAGCAACCCGCTGCATCGGTGCGTCCAGCTGCGCATGTGGGATTTGTTCCGGAGGGGTTTGAAGACCGCTACGAAGCCGCTACTGCAATACCGGACATTGCTTCCCCTGGTGTCATTCCCAGGGACACGCGCGAGAGCCCATCATATGAGGGGCAACGCTGGATTGCCATCTACGGCGCCTCCGCTGGTAGCATTATGGATGTGAGGGAGTACCTTGATGTCATGTTTGGCCGTACGGTGGAGCACCGCTGCCCCGCCGAGCTGCGAGAGGCGCCGAATAGCCAACCGCTTGTTATAAGCGGTAGCCAAAATTGGTTTTACGTGAAGTTTGAAGACCCTGTGGCGGCAGCACGAGCGGTGCATCAAAGCCCCCTTACCATTCCAATTGCTAGCAGCTACAGCATCACTGCTGTGAGAGCTGAAAGCGCAGCTAGAGGGGCGGTAGCAGCAGCAGCAGCAGGGAGGAGAGGTAATGGATTGCCCGGAGAGGAAACTGTTGGGGTGGCGTGGTGCACCGATGAGGCGTTCCTGCAGGAAGATGCACGGGAGGAACGGGAGTTGCACCAGCGACGCATGTTCACGGGCGGGACGACCGGTAGCAGCAACAGTAGTCCTATGAAGGGTGCGCAGGGTATTCAAAACACATCTGGTGCGATGCCGTACGGTGCGGATCGGCTGCAACACACGCCGGCCCCCGCGGCACAGAGTGAGGTGGGGTCTGCGCGGGCCTCGCGTGGGCTGGGCAGCGTTCTGCGTGACGCTCTCGCCTCGCCATGGAGCGCACGGTGGACTGCGGCGCCCTCCACCGGCGACGCCTCGCCACCGTCTGCGGCGGCCACGAGGATCGGTACTTCTGCCGGTGGCGGCTCCTCGTCATCGCCGGCCCGCACAGAAGTCTTTCACGACAATGACGGAAGTCCCAGCGGCAACGGCCGCCAGCCGGACCGCGGCAGCTGTGAGGCCCCCAACGGTCAATGCCATAAAGACGCAGCTGCCACGGCGGTGGGGAATGTGGTGGTGCCGTCGTTTCTCCTGTCTCGTGGTCACCACCACTTCCACCACAAGAACGCCGCGCGGCATGTCAACAGCGGCATCCCTGTGCGTCCACTTTCCGGTAATGCGTCCGTCCTCAGTGTGTTCCGCGCCGACGCGTCACAACGCGGTTTGCTGCAGCGTGCGCTTCTTGCCATTAAGCACCTACCAGCTCGCGTCTCCTGTCTTCTGGCATCATCTTCGTTGCATGGCGCACAACTTGAGGAAGCGGCGGCTGCGGATGACGACAGCACGTGGCGCTCCGTCTTTGGTGGATATAGCCTGGATCGGCGGTACGAGCGACAGCAGTACATGCTCCGCCGGCGCCATTACAACACCGCAACACGTTTTCGTTCAGCAAACGGTGGATACGGCGAAGAAGCTGCACTTGCCTCGTGGGGGCCATCCCGGTGGTATGAAAGCAGCACTGTTCTCTCTTTGCTCGTCCTTTTCACACTTCTCGTGCTCGTTTCTGGCCTCAGTGGCAGCAACAGCACGAGCATCACCAAAATGGATGTTAAGGACACAGACCGTTGGGGAAGCGGCGCGGCGGCAGGTCCCGTCACTAGCACAGAGACACAGAGTGGCGAAAAGACAGGTGTCCCGCGTGGGCCCGTGGGACAGCTACAGGGAACCATTTTTGCGGATTGAAACTGCGGCAGCAGCGGGCGAGAGGCATGAACGTCCATTGTTGTTGTTGTTGGGAGGGGGATGCCTGTAGGGTGACAGTTGTTTCGTTCCACACCCCGGCATTTAAACGACGTTAAACACACACACACACACACTTTACCGCTTCGTGTGTAGTTGTTGTTGTACTCGAGTTTATCATTCCTGCATGCATGCATGCATCCTCCTCATGCGGTTTTTGTCTCTTGGTTGATTCTGTCCTTTTTTTTTTCCTTTGGGTTGCCCTCTCGCCCTCTCTCTTTCTATGGGCGTGTGTGTGCTTTCTGCGGCGCAATGTAGCGAAGATGGGGACGGTGCGAGGCACACATGATGTTTCATCCACCGCTGGCAGGGAAGCGGACAGTCACAACGACAGTGCCTCGATTGGATTTACGCAGTTCTCCCCATCACAGCTGCCGACGCTTCTCTGTGGCGTGGAGGAGACGGACGGAGGGGTGTTGAGTGGCCGCGTGCTGTCGGAGCTGCGGCGGCTGCTGTGCTGTCCGATGTGTCGCCGCGCTCTTGTGCACAACCCTGCCGTTGTTGACACGTGTGGTCATGCCTTCTGCTACGACTGCATCAACCTTGGCCTCGAGAACGGCTGCCTCCCTGTGGCAACGGAGGAGGAGGAGGAGCAGCAGCAGGAACAGATGGAGGGGAAGGCAGAGGCGCATGTGGAGGAGCTTCATTGCAATGCTGAGTCGGAGGGCAATGCCGTTGGTGATCGCTCATCGAGAAAGCGCTGTGCTGCGGCGGCAGTTGGGGTGGCTGGTGGGCGGCAGCAGCAGCGGCGGCGACAACAACGACGGCGCAAGTTGAAGTTCACATGCCCTGTATGTCTGGGGCCCGCACACAAGTGGAACCTGGTGCGTGTGCCGTTGTTTCGGGAGGTGGTGGTGGAGGCGATGAAGCACGCGACACTTGCAGAAGCGCTACGAGATGACGGTGGTGTGTCTCGCGTGAAGGAAGAGGTCACTGTGATTAGAGAGGTGTCACTCGCCCCAACAGCAGCAACGGCAATCGACACTTCTCCATTGCCGCCTCCACCGCAGCCACTGCAAGGCGAAGAAGAAGCTGCACTGACAGCAATGGGCGATGCAGAAGTAGTCGCAAATGTTGAAGTGGAAAAAGATGACGGTGAGCCTTCCACGCCTCAGCCGTCTCCTTCGTCTTCGGCGTCATCTCCCGTGTGCACTCCTGATTTACTTACCGCGCCGCCGTCCCTTGAGATCGCCCCGGTCCCGCGGCCGCTCGCAAACATCCACCCCCTGCTAACCGGTACTTTGGCGAGAGATGTGCCTGTGGGAACTGCGCCATCCGGCACGAATATCGCTGGTGTGACGACCCTTTTCGGTACTGGTCAAGCGACAGAGCTGGGCAGTCAAGGTGAGATGATCGTGGGTGGGACTTGGGGCGACGCTGACGACAGTAATGTTGGTGTTGTGTATTCACAGCCACAGCAGCCGTCGCGGCAGGAGGATCCTGGTGCTCTGCCGTCCCACGTCTTCGAGGTGGACCCCTCCGTTCCGTGCACAGCGGAGGTGAGCGACGTCCTGACGGCAGCTGTGCGTCTTTTCGGCGGTGCTATTTTCGATGAGAGAGGTGCTGGTGGCAGCAGTCTATTGTCGAATTCGCAACAAGGAGAGAAGGAGCTGCAGGATCAGCAGCCAGCTATATGCGTCGTTATGCATCCTCTGCAGCCCTCTTCTCCCATTGAAGCGGCGCCCGTGAACCGCAATGCGCTTGCTTGGAGAGAGCTACACTGTGCCGCAGCACCACTTGCCAGCACTCACTGTCTTGTGGTGGTCTCGCCGTCCCACCTCGCTTCTGTCCCATGCCGTGATGAAACAGAGAAGGAGGAGCGCATTGTGACTGTCATGACACCTTCTATTGGAAGTGCTCTCATCACCGGTGCGGCGGTAATAAGCTGGAGATGGCTGCAGGACAGCGTCAAGGCGAAGGAGTTGCTGCCGGTGGCGCCGTACACTGCGAGCGGGTCACTTTACGCCCGTTGGCATGCGATTGAGTTGCACGGCGAGGAGCCGGCGGCAGGGCAGTGGATGAGCACTGGCTACGGTTTCCTTCTTCTTCCGGATACGTTACTTCACGTGTTGCATAGTGGTGGCAATACGAAGGACCTTGTCGCTGGAAACTCATCGCCAAACATCACAACAGCATCAGCTACCGGCATGGCTACTGGTGGGTATGCCAATTCTTGCTGGCGACGCCTTGTTCTCCTAGGTGGCGGTGTGTGGATCCAGCTTGCGGAGGGCTGTCTTGAAGCCCTTGTCGCGTATGCGTTGTCAGACGAGCGAACAGAGGCGGAAGAGAGGGGAACACAACAAGAAAGCGTGATGTCCCCCCTCTCTGTCGACGATAAAGACACAGATCATAGTGAAGATGTTCTTTGGCGGGCGCTCCAGGGTGTGGTGGGGCCGCAGCATTGCCTGTGGCAGGCCGAGTGTTCCCCGGAGAAACAAGCGGCCTCAGAGTCGGCGGTGCACCGCGTCGTGGTGATGCGGGGTGCTGTGCCGCTTGTCGGGCGTCGCGCTGAGTTGGAGCGGCGCCTGGCACGGCTGGTACGTGGCCTCGCCGTTCTTTTCTCCCTCAGCCCTGCAGCAGCAGATGAACGGGTGGAGAGCAGTGTATGGAGTTGGGGTCCATCGCTCAACGAATCTGTCTCGTGTCTACGCTTTGCGCGCGGTGACACCGCCAACGCGGGTGACGCTACACTTCAGGTGGAGGTGCGCTCCACCACTTGGCTGCTGCGGAATCTCGCGGAGCGGCGGCAGAGCGCCGGTGTGCAGCGGCGCTGGAGTGCTGCTGTTGCTGCTGCGACTCTTGGGTCTGGCGAGAGTGGTGATGGCAGCAGTGGATGCAGCGGTACTGAAGTGAGCAGGGCTGTGTTTCAGAACCCCCTCTACGACTGCTGAACGCTTATTACTGGGGTGGCGAAACGAGGGAGGAAAGGAATAGCACGCGCCTGCTGGTGCGACACGCACGCTGCCAAGGGCCCCCCACCCCTCCCCTCCTGGAAGGGGAGGGAGGACGCCTCCGGCCGATTCCCTTCGCCAGAGCGCCGATGTGGCGAGTAACCGATACCATGCTTCTCTGCTGCATTCAATGTGCTTGCATCGCGTGCCTTCTCTTCACTCTCCCCCCCCC